AAAAGACATCCTCAGGTAAAGCATGTTGTATGGGATGCTGTGAAATCATCTTGCAGTTCTTAAAGAAGTATACACAACTTCATGCCTCTAACCCAGACAACAAAGAAAAATAGGAAAGAAAACATATCAGTGCATTTACCAGTATCTCCTTATTTACCCTCATATTGACTCCCTACACACATGAAGACATTTACAGAAGCTGAAGAAATGGTACTTCTGGAACGTAAGTTAACTTGGCTGAGCACCATAAATTGTGCCATGATAACACCTGGAAGAAGAAATGGACTTGGTGACCTAAGAAGTTGGTTCTGTCCCTGTGCTTTGTAAGCCCCCTTCTGCAGCCATCTTTATCTGTTTAGAAGTTACTCAAGAGTTGTCTCTTCTTGCCAGCAGCCATGGTAATATTCATCTGTCAGCTTTTAAGTATCTGGTACTGTAATTCATGGGGTGCAGGAAAATTTAAGTCTTAGAAGACAACAAAAGCACAAACAACTGTAAGGTGGCACTCAGCGCCCGACACGTTTCTCACTAATGAGAATTTAGTTTCACTTAAATATAGCCCTCAAAGAGCTCAGTAAACAATAATATAATCAGTCCTTGATATGTAGAGCTTTCAGGCTTATCAAAGAATAATGCAAGCATGGATAGTAAATACAAGGAAGATTTTGCAATGACAACATGGCATACACATGTATCTATAAAAGCTTGGTAAGACATCATTTACCCTTATTTCCAGAGTCATAAACCCATTTCTTCTTCTTTAATAAGGTACGTCCAGCAGCTTTAACAATATTCACAAAATGGCTGCAAGCATTTTTTAAATGAGAAGGTAGGGGTATCCTGCAAGTACTTTTTTCAATGTGTTCCATAAAATCAAAGCTTTAGTGCCATCTGAAAACAGCAAAGACCACAGAGAGAAGACAGAAGCAGCAGAAATGAATGCATTTTTGGTAAAATGAAAATAAAAAGTACGGCGGATCCAAGGTTTCTTTCAGCCATATGCCCAATAGCTAACAACAGTGTAGTAAAAAAAAATTGGTGTCTGCATTAAAAACTTCCATTTTTATTTTTTGGAAGATATCTGTCCCTCATAAATATTCAGTAATGATCCATTAAACATGAAATGTTTAAAAAATAACTTCTGACTAACCTGCTCCATTTATTTTAGCTCTGTATGCAGCAACCATCACACTGAAATAGTGCCAGCTGACATCAGCAACTATTCAAGACCAGCCAAATACAGTTAAGGCTCCAGAATTTTTTAATGTAAGTAATGTTGGATGAGTGGTATCCTCCTGACTCTCAAAGATACCTATTTTGGTGCTCAAATGTAATAAATAATTGCCAGCTATGAATGCTTTTCTTCAGAAATACTCACTGCATTTAGGTTAGATTGTCAACAACAGGCTAAGAAAGCATAAGCTGTTGTAATTGTTTTCATGATGCTTTTTCAACAACAAATCTTGCATCTAAAATCTGACTACTCACAATTTCTAAACCAGATTATAAAGCTAAACCCACGCAAACCCTTAATGGATCAGGGTTTTATTTCCAGCACTGCAAAAACTTCAGTTGTGGCCAAGTCTTATCAGCTATGGTGGCAGACAGATTATAGAAGATGTGCCACGGATAAGTACGAAGCACCACCAGCTTAAACCAATTACACACTTAGCACAAAGTTGTCAAACTACAGACAAATGCCAAACCCTAACATTTAATTTCTACAATGCTTATGAATCTTAAGGAAAATTATACTGAAAAGAGAGCCTGTAATAATGCAATGACTCAGAGAACATCAGGTGGAAGGAACAGTATTGGGAAATGGAAGCTTTTAATGGTGTATAAATAAGAGAACCATGCTCATTGAAGAATTACCATTAAAGAATCGACACCGTTTTTTATTTTACTGTAACTCAACGGTTCAAGCTTACCTGCACATATTCATTGGCTGACATACCTACTAAGTTATACCTTAAATTAGGCCAGCTGACAGTACTTTCTTACGCAACATGAAATAGCGTAAGCACAAAACTATCCATAGCTGTCCTAATTACTCCTTACAGGCAGGAAAATGTGTGATAAAATGCACGTTTTGTGATTCACTTCCTCTGGTTTACTTGCTTCAGTGCTGTTAACCTGTAGCTTCTGATGGTCTTCCACAGAACTCTGGATAAAAAAAATCTAGACAATCACTGTACCATTTAAGGCACATAATTAGCAATTATTTCATGCACACTTCACAATAATAATCTGTTACATACTAAGGGGAAAGAAACATTAATGAGCTACTTCTGGTGCTGCTCTGTGTACTGTGTTTGCATAATAATGAGGTCCAATCTGCTGGAAAACACAGAAAGGACAAATTAATAAGGTCGTCATTTTTGTCTAATGATGCTTAATACAGTTTTAGCAATCTGCTCAAGACAAAAGACGGTCACTCAGACATAGCCGATTATGCATTCGCGTGGCAGATGAAATCTTTATTAAACAGAATGATGAATCTGATTAACATGCGATAACAAATATACAGTCTGCGAAAATGACCGTGCCACCTCCTGCAAGCATCCCTCACGTCGACTATTAAGGCTTTACTCAGATTGAGGTCAGACTGGTATTCCCGATAGGCGCATTAAGATAAAAGTTTGCCAAATGTGGTAACATGATGAGCAAAACAATATCCTGTTATATAAAAGCTACTGCCTCAACAGCTGACTGTCTAATCAGTGATAGCAACAACTCCTTAATAAGTTTAAAAACTTAATTGTCAAAGTTTCGTTCACCTTTTAACATGGAGAAGAATTATATTAGCTCGGCTCGATCTTAAAGCATTCTGCTTCTGAAGTGCTGTCATCTACCAAGTTGTTCGAGTTGCACAAAGACCACAAACATGAATACACAATTATTTACAGTCGTTTAAGGAACATAAATAACAGTATGAACTTATATGCCACTGATGTCACATAAAGCCTGAATAACCTAATGGAGGTTTCTAGGTCAGTGGCTAGCATCTGATGTAATTGAATTTGTAGAAACATAACAACAAATCTAAAAATCTTATTTTCAGTATAAATGTGTAATTTATATATAAGAAAGTAGGTTCTCAAAAAAAGATTTACAAAATTCAATTTGATAATCACACCTGCAATTTAACTCATGAAAATACAGCATTACCTCTAGTGGGTTACCAACCCTAGAAGTAAATCACAGATATCAAACCCAGTGATTCTACATTAAGCTTGTTTTGCTACATGATTTCTATTAGACGAATAATTCCCCATCTTCCAGAACCAACTGTACTTGATTTATAAAGAGCACATGACACAAAGTACTTTAAGATGACATACGATACCTCGTGACAACATACATGATTTAGCATAGGGTAGGCAGCAGTACAGACTACAACGTTAATTTCACTACCAATATGTTGCTCAACAACAGCAGGATTTGGTATTCAAAGATACATAACTGGGAGCTAAAACTGACTCAATCACACTTCTTCACTTTAATGCATGTGTGTTTGTTCTGGCATATGGCAGCGTATAACAAATCATAATTTTATACTCCCTTTACTCGTTCTACATGTCTTCATTTACATTCACATACTCCCAATTAAAGAAAAACAGACACTTGATTTAAAGCAAGGAGATGATAGAATTAATGCTGTATTTACTTCTAACATCATTCATTCCCAGCCCATTCCACCTTTCTAAATAAGTAACATTACTTTTACCAAAGAGAAAAAAAGAAGAGTGGGTTCTCCTCAACTCTCACATTCAAGTCACCTGCCATATAAATCTAGTCATGGCACATACAGCTTGCAACAGATCCAAAGGAGAGATGTCAGTTCTGACAATTGTTTTACAGGTCTGTTGAAGATAATGGGATTTTTTTTTCCCCTCGAGTCTCTTTGAAACAAAGACGTGCATTAAGAGATTAGATATGTTTCTACTGAAAGCCACCAGCTTGCAGAATGACTCCCTAAAGCCAGATGTGGTCTTTTTTAGCCTGAGTTGCTCTTCCCTAGCCTAGGAGCTTACCAAGATTTCTTTCCACTGGATGGAAATAGAACATAAGAAGAAAAGAGACATATTCAGGAAACATAACAATTAACCACATCTTTCTAAGTAAAGAAACAGAGGAAGTTAAGAGCTGCAGGTAGGCAAAGAGCACAACACTTGTTTATGTTACACCACCAAAGCACATGCTTGTAAACCCAATACCAGCTGATTACACATTTGTTCCTGCTGCACCTGGTATGAAGGGCAGCCTCGTCCCCCTTCCATTGCCTACATGGAGAGCTGCATGAATGGAACTGCTGACACTGTTCAGTTTGCACAGCTAGTATTGAAAAACATCAAAGTGGAATTAAATTTGATTCTGTATCACAAATTAAATTCAATTATCTTTCTACCCACAGTATAAATGGAGGAAAATTCAGGAGATAGGTATCCTGAGGTTATTTGCAAAGTTCATTCAGGATGAATCCTGTTCTTTACCTTAAAGCAAAGCATTATTAAATGTACAATAAAGTGTACATACCTTTCTCATCTGGATTTCAAAGAGTTCTATTGACTCTTTGCTAACAGTGTTTGCTAACCTTATTGGAAACATAATGCATACAATTTTTGTCTTGTTGACTCCTTTAGACCTTATCCATGTTAATTACTCAGTGTCTGATTAATATTTTTGTGTGTGATGCATGTCTGATGCTTTGTTCTGATTTTCCCTTCATGAAAGATGTGGATAGCTGCTGCCTCTTTTCCTATCCGTCTTCATAAAGCATAATACTACAGACATTGCATCAAATTAGATGTATTAAGGTATCTGAATTCAGGTTTTCATATCGAAAATAATTTCAAATCTATGTAGTGGAAATCAGATGAAATAATATATAATTAATCTAGGTAAAATTTTCATTCTATCTTTAAAAGAAATGATATTTTAGTATTTACAATCACTCAGTAACCATTCTAATGTACAAAATAGACCAATTTACTTACCCATGACTGTGCTTTATTGCTGAAATGAATAACCTTAGCTCCTATCAAAGGGCACGGAGACACTGACTGGACGAGGCAGTTCCTGCACTGTAAGTAACTTGTCAGAGAATATTCCTTCTCATTCCAAAAAGCATTTAAAGAGAAACTGGCATTCGTGCCTTTTAGAAAGAAAGAAAAAAATGCTTTACATCAGCAACGAGAGATATTCTAAAAAAGTTAAGAGTTCCTAAGATGCACTTCACAATTCAAAACTTAATTTTCATATTTTAGCAAAAAGTCACACGATAAGGAATTCTTACTCATCTCTGCAAATTCAGTATCATTTAAAATAGAGCCTTTGTGACAAAACCTACACACAACTGTGCCATCCTAATAGTAGAACTGCACATGCACTTGCAAATACCAATACTTTCCTTCTGGCTGCTGTCACCTGAATGTTGCTAAAGGATCACACACTGCAGTCGGATACCTGGCTTCATTTCCTATCAAACACTGCAGCTATAGAGACTTACTTTATATATCCACTGTGGCTGGGTATGCACCTCTAATTCGTAAGCTTTATTTGGTATAAGGAATGTGAACAATTCTCTTTTTGCTATTCTTATGATTTCTTTTTGATCAGAATATTATGTAAGGACACGAGGAATTTGGAATGGAGAGGAGCCTGCTGTCCATTGTCAGCATTTGGTTAAACATGAAGAGTTCCACAGATCTCAGCAGAGTTCTGCTGCTGGCTGGATGGAGCTGTGAGCAACCTGCTCCAGAGGGAGAACCAATGCAAACTACTACCACACTGGCAATAAAACATAATAATGTAAAATGAATTATTTATTAGCAGAAACATAATGAAGCAAGATGATAGAGAGCTGAAGATCAGAAAAACGAACTCAGGGTTACACAGCAACAGGTAACTGAAAAATCAATACCAACATCTGACACAAAGAAAGCAATGACTGCAGCAACCACACTTAGCCAATGGGTAACGAAAGAAAACAAGTAGTGGGTACATTTTATAACTTGGTATCATGTCGCTCAAAAGGAGGAAATTTCCTAATAAGGAAAATATACAGAAAAAGATTTAGTACAGCTTTGAACGTTTTATATAACAATTTAATGAAAAACAGGTTACAGTCTTTTTTGAACGCTCAGATGTTTCTCTTGGCTCATAAACATTTTCCAGTAAAAATATCTGCAAAACTTCTATAAGTATATTGGAGAGTAAGTATCAATGGGGCAAAAGACTTGTACTGGTCCTCTCTATAGAAGGAAATTTCATATGTAGATCAAGAGATAAAAATACGTCACCAAAATCAGGAGTAGCTGGAGGAAAAGCTGGTATTTCTTTTAAAACTATAGGGCTTGACAAATGCTAATGCTAAAAATCAGTAAAATTTACCTTTGCTTTTCACTGGCATCTGATAAATCTTCAAAGTTTCTTTAAGATGACTGAGACTTGCAACATCTGAGATGACCAACATCACGTTATCATCATCTGAAGTGACATCTAGTTCACACGTACAGTTATTAATGGATTCCTTACTTCTTACATGAGTATTTCTGAAGAGGTTCAAGATTATTTTCAGCTCAATATCACCATAACAAGTTTTTCTCAAAATGCCTACAATTTAGAAAGTAGGGTATAAGACTTACATATATACGTGGTTTTGAATGCAGCACTGTTCAAACATACTGCAAACTTTCCACATTCACAAGATGGTAATTTAGGCCCTGATCCAATACCGCCTTAAGTCAGTGAAAAGACTTCTATTAATGTAAATGGACCTTGGAAGAGGGCCTTATTTAATTTTATTTTTTTTAATGCATCCAAAATTTGCTTTTCAACAGATAGTTTTCCTTTTGCTATAATTCCCAAATTGACTAAGGAGTTTGAATTCATTTTGGATAAAGTCACATATTTAAAATTTTCTTCAAGCCATGGCAGATTATTATGTTTTAAAATTCTCATCAACTGACATTTGAAATTCAATTTAAACAGCATTAAACTTCTTACTGACAATGGACACCGTGGTAACTGTTAGCAATAAAGTACCTCAGCAATTCTAAGTGATTTTATTTAACACACAGGATTGCATCAAGAGCTTTTCTTCTTGCTAATATCTCTTCTTTGATGCCAGTTCTGTAACTGTTTCATCACTTAATGAGCTTGTAGGGCCATGAAGAAGGGATGTAAGGATCGCATAGCAGAGTGGCTGCTGTAAGCATAACTCTGGGGAAGAAACGGGTCTCTGCTCAACTGTCTCAACCTCAATCTTTTTATCATTTCTAGCACCATCCAAAAAATCCAGCATTCTGGCTTTCTTTCAAGTTCCAGAGATGTACTTCAATGCATGCAAAGTCTTCCTACCTTACGGTTTGTAAAACCTGGACTAGTTAAATCCACACCAAAACAGCTATCATAAGAAGATTCCTACATTCTCCTAGAAGACAATGATTTCATATATCAAGTGTATTAAGCACCTATTTCTAATTGTTTCTGCATGTAACTGATGACAACACCCTATAATTAAATCATTACCACATTTGGCCTAATAGACTGAAAATACAGGGCGTTTTTAAAAACTAGGATAGTTATTACCAAAATCAGCTATTAGACTTCCCCAAAGTGAAGAACATCACAAAAATAGTAGAGGCAATTTTAGATCACATCTAGTTAACATTTCTTAAAATGTACCAGCGGAGGGCAAAAAATCAAGCTGAACTAATATGATGTAGGTTACACAGTGAAGAACAGCAACGTGATCCTATGGTTCCAGTTCGTCAGTAAAACTCTTGATGGCTTCATTACAACTCGTATTAGTTCCCTAGAGTTACTGTGCCAAGATACTACCAACTGGTAGCAAATTAACACTTAATCCTGAGAAGCAACACACTCCAGTGAATGGGCGACTGTGTTACAAATAATCTCTTTCAGCCTTCCATAATGCCAGGACCAGTTGCCTTCAGTTAACTCTTTAATGCCACTCAGATTCCCACTGTATTTCAAGATAAATCAATATATCTGGAACAATCAAGCAAGATAAATCTGTCTGGAAAACTACAGTAAGAGTAATTTATTTTCACTGAAATATCACTTAGAATTTCCAGTAGAGAAATTAACCAATTATTCTAAAATACCCCTTCAGTATCCAACATTGTGAAATAAGGTGAAGAATCCTACAGTTCCCAACCTGGAATAAACAACCATTTTCATAGGTCTTACCTTCTGCTTTTGGTAGTATTTCTGCTCCGCAGATAATACAATAAAGTCCTCTCTTGCAAGGCTGTTGTTGGTTTTCCTTCTAATAAGCCAATATACAAGATAATGTGAATAGTCCTTTGCATATACTAGCATCTATATACATTTAAGGACTTTAAATATAAACACATTAATAAATTTGTCAAATCTACTTGAGATATGGAGTTGAATAAATTTGAGCGTTTCATGTTTATCATTTATATTAACTCATAACGTAGTAAATGCTAAAATCATTTAATCTAACCTAAATAGAAATGGCTTCATATAAAATGAGATATTTTACAGCCAATAATGCTGCAGACTATCAGAGATTTAGACTGGAATTTTGCAGAGGAATCTTGAAAAATGGTCGACAACTCTGTTTCAATATGATTATGTTCTTATACTGCAAGTCATCGAATCATTAAGGTTGGAAAAGACCTCTAACATCATTAAGTCCAACCATCAATCCTGCCCTAAAAATTACTTTTGAGAAATTGGAAGCATGGCTTATATTGAGGCAGGAATCCCATCTACAACTGGTTACGAGATGGAATCTATATGCTGGCAATAGCTGTGGCTTCCATCTATGCTAACAGGACTTGGTAACACTTGGCCTTTTTGTGTCACATGAAAAACAAGGGTTTCTATTGAGTGTAAAGACCTAGTGCAAACCACGTAGACTACAAATACACTTCTGCTGTGTATTTATCCGTGGATCATTTAAAAGATTATATAATAGACTGTATTTCCCCTGCAGCTCAACATTCAACAGTAATCACTTCAACAGTGATATTTATCTACAGGGTACCTTTTTTTCACAGGTGTAGCCACTTGCCCTAACAGTAGATTTTCTTCTTCTGTACTGTCTCTGAACTTTCAAGCCTTTAATAAAGTCAAGATATTATGATTAGACATAAGAGATCATACCAACCTAAAACACACAAGAAGAATTTTCAGCAATTTAGCTTTTCTACATTTGGGAAATCAAACAACTCAAGGGAAGCTGGTTCATTGATTTCACATCCCTTGCACTTGCAGACTGGCAGTAAGGTATTTAATTTAATATTCCAAATTGCCATAAATTTTTTAACAAAAAAAAAACAAAAACAAATATTCTTACCCACTGAGATATTGAATGTTATAACTAGTTAGAAGGATCAACAAAGATAGAATTTACATTACATGGTTTTTACACCAAAAGAAACTGCCCCTCTTCCTCTTTTTCCTCCTCTCCCCCATTTCCTGTGTTCTGTCCAGAAGCCAGTCCCACAGAGAACTGCAACCTTCAATCAATTACTTAAATTCAAATCTAAAGTAGCTATACTTATCTTTAGGTATGTTTTATGTTTAAATGGCTCCCAACATTAGAGCTTGCTTCTACCCTATCAAGTGGGAGCATGGATATAGTTACCATCATTACCTGACGACTATGAGAATTCCATAAACCTAAACGTGATCCTTACATGGCACCAGTAAAAGAAAATGCTTAACCAAATAGTAAATACTGCATAATAATACTTGTTACAGAAACTGAACAATATTCTTCCCATCCTTGGACCTTATTTTATAAAGTTGTATTTATTGCATAAAGAAGAGACAGTTTAAATCACTTTGACATGAACATATTCACAGTTATGTAGAATGCTATTTAGATGAACTTCTGTGGAAAATGACCAGTAAAATTTTACTCAGCTCTCACTCAGAACATATAAATGGCCATAAAACAGTTGTAAAAACCTTGCATCTGCATATTAATAGATGATGGAAACAAACAATCTTTTCTTGAAAATCACGCCTGACATTTTATTAAAGCAAAATCTTGGTTGGTGTTTTGATTGTAGTAAATCAAAGAAATTTTTAAATGATTCAAAAAAAAAAAAAAAAAAGCAGACTGAGGCAGATTTAAAGTTAGTTATGTACAAATTTACATTGTTATATATGGCATAGAAAATGTATATGAAGGGCAAATAAATGAGTCCTCATTTTGATACGAGTACATACAAAATCTGACCCCCAAAGATTACATCCTTCCAAAAGGAAATTTTAAAGAAACCTCAACTTCCGTATAAAACAAAGAAAGATTAATTTAGAAGTCTATCATCATCAAATATCCAAGTGTGGAAATGCTACTATTGCACAGCTTCTGATACACTCATTTCAACAAAAGAAATGTGAGGGAAGTGATTGCTGAAGAACATACACCTATTTCAGCATCCATTCTCAAGCTATGGTATTACTTGATCTGCAAAGCTGCCGTTACACACATTTAATTTAAAAAAATCCTAACAAATGCAGAAAACCCTAATTTTATATGGATTTTTTGCTTTCTGATGTAAACTCAACTGTTTGTGTTTAATGGCAGACTAATAAAATCTGTAAGACTCAGACCTCTTCACCGTAAAAGCAAGAGAATTTCCACACACGATACCTGTCCTTTGGTCACATAATTAGGGTGAAGAATCTTATTTATATCTACAGATAACTGCAGGGTGCATAATTTGCACAGTGAAAAACAAAAACAACGTGATATATTGAACCTGCTAACAGCAGATGAAGTAGAATGTGAATTGGAAAGCAATCACTGCTCTGCAGCGAGGCTATGTTGTAAAGACTGCTCATTACATTTCCTATGGAAGCTGTCACTATGTGCTAGTACTGTCCAGTAAAAATGGTGACACACCTTTATTTCGTGATCTGGAAAGACTGATTTTCCGTTTTTTGGTGTCCACCTCTTGAGATTCTACCTGCTCTGCTTCTTTTCCATTAGTCATCTTTTCAATATTAACTGCACTATTCTTACTGATATCATTCAGCATTGTTCCATGTAAACTTGTGTTTCTGCCATCATCATTAATCATTTCTTTTGGCTCACTTAGTGTTTTTGAGGGATTGATTACAAAAAGATCATCAGCTACTGTGGGTCTTCCACATTCAATCTGATTCTCATCCGGATCTAGGGGCCTCGTTTTCTGTTCTTCTGATTCTGCATCATCATAGAGCTCTGGTGTGAAGTAAAGACTTTCATCCTCAACTTCTGCAGACATGTCTAACACTGAAAGTTCAGGTTCCCCTCCTACTGAAGGAAGCTCACTACAGGACTCAATTTGAACCTTTTGCTCATCAAGATGCTCCTCAGCAACTGGAGCCTCTGTGTTTTTGACTGAAAAATCAGTTGTTTCCAAATGTGATTCTGGTATACTTGGTTTATGTTCTAAAGTGAATGATGACTGGCATTGATTTACACCATCAATAAGTTCACTAGCACTGTTCACATTCTTTCTTTGTTTGCTGCTTGCTGTGGACACGCAGTTCGTGGCTGCAAGCAAAGGTGTTGAAGTCAGTGGTTTAAAGCAGCAGTGCTCTTTCATAAAATCAGAATTAGTCCAATCACTCTTTTTCTCTCTCTCTGTTTTAGTTGCAGGCCTTGTGGGTGTGGAGTCCATATGTTTTCTTCTTTGTGGTGCATTGTGAGAATGACTCTCCACATCAACTTTCTGGCCACCTGTGAAAAATCACAACACATTAATTAATTGTATATGCCTTCCCCCTGCTGATTTACAGCATGTTTAGCACATCAAAATTACCACTGTTTTATTAGGTTTGCAGATATTTTATAATGCTCATTAAGATCCAATACAAACAAAAGCCCAGATGTTACAACTATCTTTGCACATGAATTGTCTTAATGAAATCAATAGATTAACTGGCCCATGTAAAGTGAGAGCATATGTACGATTGGATTTAAAAACCTGTATTTTTTACTCTTTATTCTCTTACATTATTTACATCTATCTTACTAGAAGTGAAATGACAAGCTTTTCTAAAATTGAGGAATGGATGGATAGTTGCTTGTAAAGCTGTTATATATATATATACCTACACACACACACACGGGGTCTCACTGTATCTAAACAGCAGAGACAGCTTGAACCAAAGCAACAATTAAACCTTGCAATAATGCTCAAAATCACGTTTCAAGCATATTTTAAATTATCTTCATATTTTTCAATGACAAAATCAATTTAAGTGGAAGTAATTTTGATTGCACTACAAACTTTTCAAACATTATCAATTGCTTTAAGAGTAATTGCAGTATGCTGAGCACAGCTCATACACATAAGCAGATAATTACTTTCCATCATAGCATTTCAATACTTAAAAAAAAATATTTGCTTATTCCAAGAGAGATACGACCGAACACTTGAAATTGTTAATGAAGCCTTTTTTCCCACCCCACAGGAAATGAACATACTTTGTTGCATTATTGCTGTGATATTACTTGGCTGATTTGATGGTTCGGGATTAATTGAGTCGATGGTTGTAGTTAAATGAGTTCCTGGGACCAAACTTTGCTCCTCAGTTTTAACAGGAACATCTGGTGACAGGTGAATAGTTGCCTCCTGTTGAGAAGCTGATGACAGCTCTTTTGAATTTAAAGGTACATGGAAAAATTCATTGCTACACTGTGATGAAAAATCAATGCCTTTCTGGTTTCTTTCAGCAAATGCATGTAAGGATTCAAGTGCACTACCAAAATTTTCATGATGCTGGACTTGTTGACGAATCCATTTAGATAATCCTAATAGGAGGAAAAAAGAAGCATTACAACAAAACTACAACATATATGCCCAGTTTTATTATTATATATGCTCTGCGTTTATGCCTGGGTATTCATTTTTCTTGTTATCAAGAATTATTAAAAAGAAACTTAGAGTATAGTTATTTATGACTGTACTAAAAAGGTATGACAAAAACTAGAATTTAAGTAAATCAAAGCCTTTACAACTTTATTTCAGATTAAGCAAGATATTCAGAAATAACCACAACTGTCAATTGCAAAAAAAATATAATGCGATACGCTTTCATAAAGCAATCATTTTTACAGCTCTCAAATAGCAGAATAGATACGAATGTATCTAAGGAAGCAGAACGTATACAATTTGAACGCATTTGTTGTCAGAAAATGGTTTGACTTGTATCGTGGCAGCTGAGCTCCACCTGCTGACTAGACAGCAACATTATCTGTTGACTCCTTTACAGATGTCTTTTCCGAACAGATCAGGAACAAAGACAATGCATTGTCTCCTAAGCAATTTCTTTTCAACTGCAGATTTTTAGTTTCATGGCTATACTTTGTTACCTCCTACAATCATATTTCTGTAATCTTGATTTGTTAATAGGAACTTTCCCAAAAAGATTTTCTTTTTTTAAACAGCTTACCAGTTATGTACTTGTTAGGGTTATTCCGGAAGCGGTCGTCAACTAAGATAAGGGCACCCCAATCACTCCTATGCCTTATACACCTACAGGCAAGCAATGAAAAAAAGAATGTCTTTTATATAACTTGAGGCCATATAGTAAAAAAAAAAACAACTGTGGGGATCAAACAGAAGAAATTGTAAAGAGGCAGCCTGCTGGGATATGCCAAAATCTACAGAGCATCTTCCTACTCCCTTGCAGCAAAATAATGTTCACTCTGAATGCATGAATGGTACTACCTGAGTATATCACAGAAGCTTAATTGTCCTTCATTTCTACTATATGGAAACAAATTAAAAACAAACAAATATTCAGCATCTAATCAAACCACATATTTGTTTTCTACTGTTAACTGGACAAATTAAATACTGACAGGAAGAAACGTAAGAATAAAAGAGAAAAGAAAATTAACTCCAGTGCAATGGCAAGCATGTGGTTTTTTTAAAAATCAACTATGTATTTTCATAAAGCAATGTATAGTGGTGCAGATCAAAGCAATAGGTGATACTGTTTAGTTTGTAGCTGAGGTTTTATAGATCTACAAAAATATTCCAGTATTCACTTCTCACGCGTTGACATTTTTAACATTATTTGGATTTCCATCCTGCCTCCCAATAATAACATGAGTGAAATATGGAAAATAATCTGTCAGTGATAGTTCAGGATTATTACCCCCATTGCTTAAGAAGTGGACAATTTTTGAAGATGTTTACAAACGTACAGGAAAACACAAGTGTATCAGTCAGGGCTTAGAATGGGAATGGTGACACTGGAGAAAAAGTAATTGTTTATATTTGAGATATCTCCACGATGAGAAGAGCTATCACAACTTTATTCAGAAACAGATTACTTCCCACTTCTCATTTTTTCATTGCACGGATAAGGGTTAACTCCTAGTTTGGATGAATGACACACGCTGGAGAGACATCCTGCACTTTTAGGAGAAGCAGCACTGCAAGGAATTCATTGCATGGTGTCACCTGGCCGTACACACCATCTGTTCAATTCCCAAAGGCTGCTATTTCATTTCAAAGACTCGTGTTACTTCATATACTGTAAGAGCACTGAATTAAGAGAAAAGTGCCAGACTGAGGACTAGCATGCTTCTGCTCACTTCCATCCCTGCAGGCATCCACAGCAACTACTGTTTGTGCATCTACAGCAACTACTTCCTGTGTCCATCACAAGAAGCCATACTCTGATTTATAACAACTTAGTAGGCTGTTCTGGTTTTGTAAGAACTGCCATCATTTGCTGTCATCCTTCACCAAACCTCAGCCAGGAAGGATTTAGTCCAACAATAACGCACACTATTTACATGCTTATTTCAGAATGGAAGTCTATTTCTTCCTGTTAAATTTTGACTAGCACAAGTTTATTCACATGACAAAGGATACAACAAGCAATTTCACTAAAGCTAGAATCAAGTTAAAATTTAATTCACAGTGACAAAGCTTCAAATTTATTTCTTACTGCTAGCATTCCACCACTTCTATTAGTTTTTTTCTTAGTTAATTATAAGTAAGGGAAACTTAAGATACCAGCAACAGGATTTTACAATAAGATTTTATTTACTTAGACTATATTGTCTCAAGTTTGTTTCTAAACCTTCATTCATATCGCTGTATGTTGTCTGTGCCTCTATCATACAGATGTATAATATACATAGATGTACAGCATCTGCATTAAGTGCAGCTGATAGATAGCTATGTCTACATATAGTAAACTCTGTCGGGGAAGGATGAACTAATTCTGTCCTGTTAATAAAATTTGAGGGAATTATTTCATTTGAGAAAGTAAGCTATACCACTTCTAAATGTGGAAAGAGATCAGCGAGCATGATAATTGAATTGACCTTTAGCAAAGGCCTGCAAAAAACCAAACCAAAACAAATATTTATCCCTTTCAAAAATACTGTAGGCTAAACTTCAAAAATACTGTAGGCTAAACATTACAAATGTTCTAGGCTCACCAAGAGTATAATTAGTACATTTGAAAAGACCCAAGTTTTTTCATTTGATTTATAAGCTCAGTAATTATTCCTCCTCTGCAAATGCGTTCCTTTCTGTCCATTTGGAGTAACAACAAATAAACCTGCAGCTTAACTTTGCAGAATGAAAAATGAAAATTCTGAACTCTAACAATGCTCAAATGCACAACAGACAAAAGCAGACAGCTGCCAGTACAGAGCAGCTGAATACCTGATTTATGCAATATAAGTTTTCTCGTCTGTTTTACCCCATGTTAATAATGAGGAATCAATCACTGAAGATATCACATGCAATAAGTTCTATAAATATGCATGTCCTAATCACACTAGATTCATCTCACCTTCCCAGGGCCTGATTCAAAGCCCTGTAAGCCTGGATTTCATACCACTGGCTCCCTGGTAAAAGGCCTCTTGTAGTTTTGTGTTGATCATTGTACTTCCTCTTTAATTCAACCTAAAAAAGAAATCACAAAATATTGTTTGCGATTATGATTTTGAAAAGAAAATATTCTAAAATGGAAAAGGAATCAGAGCCTGATTTAATCAGAGGATATTATGAGGTAAAAAAGAGAGCTTCTTAGATAAAATAGATTAGAAACAACATCGATTCCACAGAAAGTCTTCCAAGTTTTGTCCACAGTTATCATTTATCCACAACTGCGATGCACTAAAGACTTCAATGTCTTTGCCAAAGTCAAAATATGCAACTGATTCATACCTGCAGTTTAAATGGACCAAGTACAATAAACTAGAAACGTATCATCAGATCTGCTATGAAGCAATTGGAATTTGAAAACATTCAGGACAAGTTTCACAACACAGAAGACTGCACCTGTATTACATAAACACTTCAGGAGCGCTTTAGCAACAATGACTTAATACACAGAACATTTCTAACCATAAAACGTTTGAAAGGTCTCATACCCATGGCCAAGAGAGTCCCTTAACTACAAGGCTCAAGTTCGCAATCAGCGGGTTATGAAGTTGGGAATTCCTCTGTTGTGCCAAAAGGAAACGCTGGAAGCTCCAGAAGACAGCAGCTCTATAACCTATTTTGCTGCAGAACCCCCTGAATGTTGGTTGCCAGTAGCTGTACTTTAATTATTAACCAGAGTGCGTGCCAGGACACTGCCTTATTACCCAGCATCAGTACCCAGCAGGCACAAACTGCTCTAGCCACAAAAGAATGAATTCCATCACGCTCATCAGGACGACCATTAACACCTGTATTAATCACAGATCACATGAGGCAGACCTAGAGAGTTCTAATATTTACTCAATCTTTCAAGTGCAGAAGAACACACTGTAACAGCACAATTTCAAGCAAAAACAGAGGGGCCATGTAATTGGCTTAAGCTGCAACAGTATCCCCAGAGTAAAACTGCCTTGTGCAGGCTGCTTATGATCTCAGTAGAGTTACTGGGCTTCCTGAGCTCTTGCTGCCCACTACCTTTTGCTGTATGATGCAATATTAAGCTACTCAGGACTTCAGGCTGGAAACTATTTAGAAGCAGAGGCCTCTCCCAGCTGCTCCAAAGGCAGCTCTGACAACAACTGGGAAATACATTCCTCGATTCCCTTTTCTGATCATCTGGGCAACGACACTTGAATTGCCTGACCTGAACTGGAGCAAGAATTGGTTAAATGAACATTATGCACAGTTATAACACATAGCAAAAGAATTTCTCATGACTGTGGGGGAGGTGACGGTTGTGTTTGTTGGTGGTTTTTTTTTTTTTAAATAAACAAAACTACACCAAAAAGGGTCCTTCCTTTGCTCTTTTGTACAGTATTAACCTTTCTAAACTGACAAGTGAAAGGACACGCTTCAGGAGAGAAAACAGCAGACTTCTAACCTCTTCTGACAGGTAACTTTCAAGTTGGATTTGGATAAGAAATTTTATTTTATGTACTTATGCCCTTTAAATTGCCTGTCAAATTTACAAATTCAATCTTTACAGCCAGAAAATAAATTCAGTTTGATTTCACAGATTTAATATTTGTTCCAGTCACCCTGAATTTATTGACTGGCATATGAGGTCTCCTTTGTAATTTTCAAAACAGAAGATGATTTCTTCCGAGCAGCTTAGGAGCTTTAATACCATTCTTTAGGAAGGAACCAAAGCGTAACTGAGCATTTCCACATTTGTAGGTGCTACTTGGAGGAACAACAGGGTACTCCTCAACATTTGAAATGAGGTTGGAGAATTTCACTGAAGTTTTTAAAAGCCTAACCAATGGCAAATGGGAACAGGAAAAGGCAGAACAGCCAGATCATCTCCACTAGGATGTATGATCCCGTAAATAAAATACACTGTTACTACAACCCAATACATGTTAGCATTATGGAAATTTATACAACTTGTAACGCCCATCAACAACGGCATTTTGTTTTTCAAATGATAAAAAGTCAGTATTTGCCTTGGTCTTTTCTATCTAACTGAATAAAGGGTTAACAGAAAATAAACATCGGGTTTTCTCACTTTGACGATCATGTCTCAGCATGAGATGACAACTTACGTTGCTGAGAGTTCAGTTTTCATTATGAGTCTACGAAAGGTAAAAGGCCAGGGCATGTCATTTTAATGCAATCAGAATCTATTTCATTGTATAACTCTTACATTATCAAACATCAAATCAACGCCCGATTCAAAATGACATGTTGCATATGTGAAAAAGCCAGTCTCTCCTGCTAGCAAATATCCTAAATGTGCAGTAAACCACAGGCTAGAAGGGATTAGTTAAAATGTCAAAAGACAGCCTTTTACTTTTACCTGTTCATCCTTAAAAATATACTCTTAGCTATCAGGCATGCTTTACAGACAAATAGCTTCAGCAGGCAGCAGCAGAAGGCCCGTGGCAAGCTCTGCCATCTTGTAGCTGTCAGACAGATTAGGCTTTGATCTATCTGGGAGGTCACGGTCACATTCACATTTACTGAAGTCTAACAGCATTATACCTGCTAACCGCTCGTTCTTTTAATGCTTAATTAGTTCGACATCTTTCACTACAGAATATCAACTGAGAAATAGCAACAAAAAGTAAATGCCATGAACAAACTTTCCTATTCATGACTTGGAAAAATCTTTTGAGGCAATTTCTGCTACTACTCCAAAGAATTTTTGAATGTTATTGGTTTGGGTTTTTTTTTTTAATCCAACTTAGTAAAATGAGTTTGCTTTTTTTTTTTCCAACAACTGCATTGAACATTCTCCAATTCTCATTATACTGCATTTTAAGTGCTGACAACTCAGGAAAAGAGAATAAACAACAGTACACCACCTGAAGAAACCCAGATTAATTCATATGGTACGTAAATAAGTAACAAAGTGAGTTTATACTGTAGTTAATATGGACTGTATTTGTCATGAAGCTCAGAAGAGTAGAGATTGTTTCTGACCCCCAAAATAACATGCATACGTACGTGCAGAAACCTGCAGCATTTCAGCAGTATGCCAGTCTGACCCAGATGTATTCAAAATTAACACAACGTGGCTGTATCTAACAGCAAGATATAAAAATAGCTACCTATTATGAGCTGATTGCTTATACAGGAAAAAAAAAAAAATCAATGGTTAGACAAAAAAACACAAAACCAGAAGAGGCATTTTTTCTTTCCTTTCTTTTCTTTCATTTCTGTAAACAGAATTCTGCTCCTTTCCAATGTCTGCTCTTAGATCAGCACCCAGCAATGCAGTACCAGGCTAAGGAGTCAACTGCTGGAAGGACAAAGGCAAAGAACCTGAGAGCTTTATGGGTACACACACAACACACACGTAGGCAGGGACACAAAGACACACGTGGAAACTCATGCCCAAATCTCCTCAGCTCTCTTCCATGGAAATAAGGAAACAGAAAGTGGGTATGAATATTTTCTGGCATTTCAGAAAATTCTTTATCACAGGACAAACAGTAATGGAAATGAAGACTACTGTCTGTATCGTGCAGTGAACTTCACAACATGCATTTCTGTTTAACATCTAATTCCCCACCTCCTGAAAACCAACAAAAATTCAGGTGATCACCTCATTCCTCACTTTCACCCGTTGTCCCCTAAAAAGACTTAAAAATGGTTTTTAAGGGAATTTGCCCTCTTAAAAACCTCATGCATCTCTCCCCCACCTGAAATAGCAATAATCAGAATTCTCCAAGAATATGCTTGCCATCTACTTTCCTCCTGACGAAAGCCAAGTAATCATAAAAATCATGCAAGTGCAGGAAAATAAAAGACATGAAAACCTTTTTTTTTTTTTCCTTTTACATGTGAGAACTCATAAATGGAAGAAGCATTAAATGGAACAGATTTTCCCTCCTCGCTTTAAAAGTAGTAACAACATCTGAGAGATTTAAGACTAAATAATGCATGTATACAGACATGGGCGAGGCACAAGATTCACTTATCTAAACACAACACCTTAACTTATCAGCCCATTATTTTAGATGAAAAATATTATAGTAGGATATTATCTTCAAATGCTCCAGACATTTCAAGTACAAACAGTTTTAACATAACACTATGAAATAAGCAAAAACCTCATCACCTAAAGTTTATTAGAGCCTGTTTATAACTATTACTTCTTAAGGCCATTCTAACCAATTCACATATCTAAATATTGCAATCAGATACATAAATAACACACTATCCTGCTTTCACACACAACACATTTAAAATAAAAAAAAGAAACAAAACTGTGAGCACAGTAATACTGCATACTGTGAAAAGGTTGATAGGGGCTGGAAACAGTGCTTAGTGCTGCAGCTCCATCCTGCACAAGTCTCTTTACCAGGTGAATCACCTCTCCCCTTGCAGGGGCTTCCAATTCAAACCAACAGTTCTGAGCAGCAAAGCCACACCATGGCATATCAGAGTCTACTAACTGGCCAACCCTACCTTCAGGGAAGAAAAGCAGCAGTACCACTTTATGCAAAGCTGTATTTCCTCCCTTATGTGCTCACAAGTTATTTTATGACTAAATGCTTCCCAAGTATTCTCGCTCTTAATCCCAGTGTTAAAGAGATGGGAAGCTTATGTAATGCTGCAACCTCTGAACACTTTGAGTATTGTCAACTACACCATGTGGCATCTCCGAGATCCTGGAGTTTCACGGTTTGACAAACCTTGTAGCACATTCACCCCAGGCCCATCTACTCATCTCAGTCTTGTAGGCTTGGAGGGACTGTGAACAAGTGACTTGATTAAAATCTAATGCAACCAAAACTCTGCTCTGAAGAGAAAATTCAATCCATTTCCACTGAAGCAGAAGTGAAAAAAATCAAGCAGCTTCCCCTGAGGTACAACGTTGCTGTGTACGCTCGGTGCCGCTGCGGCAGAGGTGAAGTGGTAAGTGTCAGTCATCCTTACAAATCCCCAAGGTGATAGCTTCACTTTTAAAGCTTTCAACATACTTTGACAGTGAAGTAAAAACTTAAAGGTCAACGCTACTTGCTAAGGAT